CCCCAAAACCCCAAAACCCCTCAAGATTTCATCTTCAACTGTATTTGATTCATAAAAATAGCTTAAGATATTAATAGATTAATGCTAGAAATCCACTCATAAGTCCCTTTTATTGTTAAATTAAATCACAGTAAAATTTTTTTCCATAATGAGAGGCCTTGGCTAAATATTTTTGCAGTTTACATAATGATCATCTAAGCATTCTGTATTCTTAGTAACACCGGTTCCTATTAAGTGTGAATCTGGCTATCCTGATGTCTTTATCCATGTTTTGTAGCAAATCATTGCTCTCAATTTAAGTTAAAATGGAATCTTAGGAGGTATAGTATTGGGATCCTCCTTGCATGCACCTTGAATTAAAGTATGCATATATCCATCTTTATCTATCATTCTAATATAGTTGTTCCCAGCATCATAAATAAATATGATTCCATGAGCATCAACACCTACTAGCTCAGGCCTAGTAAGCATGTTCTGACCCAATAATCCATCCTTAAATCCAGCCTTACCACAAATACCTGCAAAGGTAGACACCTCTGCTTTTGAAACATCTAATCTTCTAATACAATGATTCATTTTGTCTGCAATATACACCTTTCTTGGCTCAGTATTTGAGTATGAAAAGTTTTTCTATTCTTTGGTAAGCTCAATAAAGGGGACATATTTTATAAGTGAATGATTCATTGTGACCATTTCTAAGCTTTCATCAACCAAAACTCCACATTCTTGATAGTTATCCATCGTTATACTTTTTTTACAAAAATCTGATGGTGGATTATTTAGTAATACTGGCTTTAGATTATCTGATTATAAAATTCTGGTCGTATTTGCATCATATACGCAAATAGAGGAGGGATGATTGAATGTTGCTTTAGCAATATTACCATCACGATCTCCAGTGACACCATCTGTACCTGAGACTTTAAATATGGCATTCCATGTTGCCTACTCTTTAGAAATATAGAAGATAGTACTTTATTATTTGTCCGCAACCCATAGATTATTTCTATAATCCACGTTGTAATTATATGACCAAAAAAATAGTGAGGGTTCATCATTCATAATAACTGTTTTCACATTTCTTTCATCTGTCCTTGCTCCATAGTAAAAGGGAATGGTATAATAGTTATTAAATGGGCCAGGGGAATCTAAGCATTTTGTGGCTCTTAGAAAAAGTAATGAAATAATTGATAATTCTATTAGTGAATTCATTTTTAAGATTTATTAACGATAATCATTTTATTATAATATAGTATCATATAATCACTTTATCGAAATTAATTACAAAATTTGAACCAAACTTATTCTATTTTTGTTTGATTAATCAGCACAGACATTAACATTCCTCGCAATACCAATACCGACATAATTTGCAAAACTTTATACAAAATTTGCAAAATACTCTGCCCTTATCAACACATTTATAGCAAGTCTTTCTACAATTTTGATGACTGCATATCGGGCCCTCACATCTACCTCTACACTTAAACCAGCCTTGAGTTTGCTAGCATACTCAGCAATTCATCTCTATATTATTAAACTCAACTTTAACATATTTATAGACATTTTTCTTTCTAGGATCTTCTTTAGGCTCATAAGTAAAAAGCATTTTCTCAAATCTCCTGTTTAAGCTAATTAGTTTACTTTTTACATTTAAGATAACATGATCAAATTTAGATTTGCACTAAAACTACTATTCATATCTCTTAACGACATATTTCATTGTGTGATCTAATTTATCAACTCGATTTAGAATACTGTCAAAGCAATTGTGAGTCTATATAATTTTCCTAACCACGGTTGAGTCGCATTTTTCGCATTGTATTTTCATATATTGGCATGTAAGTTCATGTTCTTTTATAAATCCTCTTGTTCCTACTACTCAGCAATAGGGTTTTGCTACACATTAGATGCCATCCTCAAATATACAATCTTTTTTATAGTGCACTATAAGATTCTACTTTTCTATATTTTATTTGCACTAGTAACAGTGAAAATGAGTCTCATCTATTACATCAAAGCATTTTTTAGATTAAATATTCCTAATAAACAAAATATCAGCTGGGTCAAAGTTATGCTGATTAGAAGATAAGAATTCAGCATTAAGCTTGCATTTTCGGTTCAGACATCATTGAAATGAGTGGGCTGTCTTATTATCATGCTTAACTTCAATCGTGAAAATTATTTCAAAGTTAAGTTAACTTATATGTGTCTTTTCAGGAGAAGTGTCTTCTGAGCTTATTCCAAAAGTATTAGAAAAAAGTTGATCATAATATTTAGAAGGGGAATTGAACATATAAGATTTAGCTTTCTTGACCATATCACTATATGAGGACTTGCTGGCTCTTTTATAGCATTTCTCCTGAGTTATTATGATTTCTTTGTTAAAGTCCTCTCTTGTATTCCCTATATATTCGTAGCAAAGCAAGCAAAAGGAGGACTCACACGTACTGCAATAATAGCCTCATATCTGGCTATTGATATTAGAGTAACATAAATTGCAAATGAGGTCAGAATATTCAACCTCATAAGAATAACTCTTGTCTTACAATAGAGATTGCTAGGTAAAGTTTGATAAATGCCTTTAGAACATTAAATAATTTAATTGAATAAATACTCTTAGTAAAAATAAATAGCTCAAAAGTAATTCATAAATATATTTGAATGATAATTTAGATAATTTATTTGCTTCAAATATCTAAATGCTATAACACTCACTGCTCGGGGTTTTGGGGTTTTGGGGTTTTGGGG